CTGTGGCGCGACGCAACAAATCCCCGACAGAAAACTGCTGCTGCGTTCTATTACGTTCTAATGACGTATTGACACAAATTTCAAATGATTTTCAGCGTTCCTTATCACCTTGTCACGTCCAGTGTAGACGGACATTAGCTGTTGCGGCGCGGTGCGACAGATCGCGTCCGGTGTACGTTAGACACGGTGTTACTCACCTATCGAGAAGAAACAAAGCAACCTCGGCGTCCGATCACAGGCTTTCCGCCCCTTGAGTTCTCTCCAGCGCTGGAAAGCTGATCCGATATTTACACGGGTCCTACTTCTTGCCTCATCGTAAGCCTTATTTTGTTCCGCAGACGTTTTCCTCTTGTATTTAACCGCCATCTCTATCTTTCTGTCGTCGCTCGGCTCGGCTAGGCTAATGTCCGTCCTGTGCACTGAGCTCTCTCTCCTCCGCATCATGAGTAGACACGCCCCTTACTGCTGATTGGCTACAAGTTTATTTTGGTACTCGGCCCGACTGAAAAAATACATACCCCACCTTTAAAGATTCTTCTATATTTAATTTAGAATTTAGTGTTAGATAACTGAATCCAATTTCTATATATTTCCTACTTGCAGAAGGGCACAGGTAGCTGTTTTAAGTTCACTTAAATTAGAAGTTGTTATTTTTTTTAAAGTCTAATTAATGTTCAAATTGATAGCTCTCAATTATACTGAAATGTTAAAAGGCTACATTATAGTCAATAACTAAATATTAGAGGGGGGAAACAGTTTCCTAGAGACATTATTAGCATTGGTATCAGTGATACTCACCTTCAGTCATTAAAAAAAGACATTAAACAAATATAAAAAATATACTGTATTTATTGCAATACAGAAGTATTTAAAAACTATAATGTTAGGTGGCGATTAATTTCAGAAATATGTGCAATTAATTAGTTAATATTGGTTACACTTTATTTTAAGATGTCCTTGTTACAAGTGTCTTTAACTTACATTTAAATTAATCATATGATACAATGCACGTATTGTGTACATACATGTTTTTACATTGTACTGATAATGTATTTAAAAATACCTTCCAATAATTACATCTGTATTTAATTTCTGTAGATACATCTATAATTACACTGTCATCCCTACCCTAAACCTTAACCCTCCCTTAAACCTACCCATACCAAGTAACTATTCATTATTTTTTTATGTAAATACAAAGTAAAGACACCTACTATAAAGTGTGACAAACCTCATATTTAATTTAATAATTGTTACGGCATTATTTTCTTAAGCACTCAGCATATAGGGGAACGTGTGAGCAAACAGGATGTGTTCACTAAAACTAGTGAGGCAACACACAGACAGATACAGAATGCATTTACTCAAGAGAAAGCACCAAAAAAATTTGCAAATGAAATGCTAAAAAACATCACAAAGTTGCATTTTGATCTTGATCCTTGTCTTATGTTATTAAATGATGATTCTTCTCATAAGTTTACATTACTTCAGAGAAGACTGTTAATGTCTGGCTTCACTGCTGCTAAAAAAAACTATTTTACAGCAATGGTTTACACCTGACGTGGACCTTAAAAGATTCTGGCTGTTCTCTTTTCATAACTAGGGATGCAACGATTATAGATTTTGTTGGTACGATTATTGTCTGAGGAATAATCACGGTTTTAACCAATGATACAGCACAAAATATTATTATTATTATTATTAAAGACAAATAAATGTCTATCTCTCCAATTGGAATTAAAAAGGTGACCTCTGCTCTCCATCCATGTCAGTATTTCCCTTTTGAAAATAACTAATGAAAATAGATCACAAAAGTATTTAGTGTTTTCAGTTTGTACATTCTTTACATTTCTTTTGGACCCGAGGCAGAAAACTGGAAACATGGTGAAAAAAAATCTTGTTGGTTTTTGAATTATGAATAATACTGTAAAAGGGATAATTAATTAACAATTATTGTGTTAATGAAGTATTATTAATATAAGACTGTTAACTTTATTTATCCCACAGGGGAAATTATTAATAATGAGGGGAATAAGCTGAAATATTATTGCAATCAACTGTCATCCATACGTATTCATTTGAATAATTTTTTATAATAATTCATATGATGTTACATGTGGCCTGAGAAAATCATGTCTATTATTTTGGTTTGTGAGATCGGAGATCGCGCTGCGCACACATACAAACATTCAGGAGGACACAAACTTCTTGAAAATGCTGCCCCGTGACTTTTATTAATGAAATAGATTAAATAGCCTACTGGAGAGACGCACAGACGCAGGTAGGCTAATTCACACAGGCAACGGTCACCTCTCTCTCTCTCTCTCTCGAATAATTAATT